TCCCCATTGTGGGTCATCTGACACTTATTTAAATTTAACCAGTCATAATGAAAATAATGAACACATTCTACTTGTTACTTCCCTCCACAGAGAAAACTGCTGAGCCTTTAGAATGCTGCAGAAGTGCAGATCCAGTTTCCCAAAGGCACATCACTGTGTGCAATTTTGAATTTTGAGTGCCCACTTTAAAGCATTCAAGCCTTCCCCCAGGATAGCCACACACCCCAAAGCACTTTTCTTCAGATTTAATCAGAATTCTTGGGGAATTGGAGCATTTGTTCATATTAACAGAATAACAGTGTTGGATGGGACCTTGGAGGTCTTCTAGTCCAACCCCCTGCTCGAACAGGAGACCCTATATCATTTCAGACAAGTTATTGTCCAATCTCTTCTTTAAAACCTCCATTGTTGGAACATTCACAACTTCTGGAGGCAAGCAGTTCCACTGGTTAATTGTTCTCACTGTCAGGAAATTCCTCCTTAGTTCTAGGTTGCTTCTCTCCTTGATTAGTTTCCATCCATTACTTCTTGTTCTGCCTTCAGGTGCTTTGGAGAATAGCTTGACTCCCTCTTCTTTGGGGCAGCCCCTTAACTACTGTAACATTGCTAACATGTCACACCTAGTCCTTCTTTTCATTAAGCTAAACATACTCAATTCTTGTATTTCTATTTTTAAAACCTATCAGCTATCCATAAAAGGACAGGGCCAATGGCTTTGTAACTCTAGAACGTTTGATGAGGAACATTGTCAAATGCTTTTTAAAGCAATTCATTCTGGCCTCAATTTTTTTTAAAGAAAACAATCAAATATTACCAATCACTCAAGGAACCTTCTGATTGATTCTACATGCCTAGTCACAGAATACATGAGAGTTCTGCATTGTTTCTCCATCCAGCAATATTCCCAGGTATTATCGGATACTTACTTTCTCCATTTGAAGGAGATAGAAATCAATTAAATCTTGAGGTTCATGCAGGCTCGGGTTTTCCTTATGCTGTTTGATCTCCTTTTTTGCAAATGAAAGAATCATCTCTACAGAAGGTGAGATAGTCTGGTGAGGGCCTGGCAGATGTTTCATTATATGTGGGAAACCTTCATAGAGCTACCAAAAGGGAAAGGAGGGGGAGAATGAGTGCAGTTAAAATTTTGGACTATAAATTGCAAAATTAAGATTCAAGATAAAGTAGACAGAAATAGATAATCTAGATAGGTAATCTACATGTAGACCTTG